TATATATATATATATATATATTATGCTGTTGATACTACTGAGGTTGTGATATTGCACATCTGGCGGGAAGCTTTCTGTAAACACTGTGCAGCGTTTTCTTTCTGTTATAAAAGGAAATTCATATAATCTCAGGAAACCCGGTTACCTGTAGGACACACTCTTCAGCAATAAAGACCATCTCCTCCATGAATCTGTTAGTTACCGATGTGATTAGATAATGACACAAGGACGGATAGTGCTGCAGTGCTGGCTTAGTGTCCATACTTGAGAGATTCATACCTGCATCACAACATGGACCAAAGGTATTACAAACCATACGTGAAATTCTGTACATACACATAAAACTGTCTGTGTTTTACATGTACATACTGTATATACTTCAGCAGGAGCAAGGCAGAGCGAAAGAGAAGAGGTAATGCAGCTTATGTCCTCCCGCAGGTGTGTCCAAAAACCCATCGGAAAATTACGGCTGATTGAAGCAAATCAAATTTCTTATTGACCATTTTTCCTTCAGGACCCAGACTCGCACAGCTGACCAATAATCTGTCTTTATGCTCTGACTGGACATCTTTGGTCTCATCGGCTGACTCGTAGCGAGGCTTCTCCGACTCATCGGCTCCCCCACAGGCTGGGCGTTGGGATGAACATTTTCCTCATCCTTTATGGCCTCAGGTTTGAGATGGGTTCAGTGCTGTGAGAAAAGTTCAATCTCAGTCCACCCTAAGCCTGCTTTGTATGTCGTAAGGCGTGTAACCCCCTATGTGTCTGTCACTTAGTGTGGGTTAACTGCTGGAAGGTCCACTGGTGAGGAAGTAGGTCATCATCTCTCCTTTGCCCTTGACTGTGACCACTCCTCTGTATTCCAGTGTGTAGTTATAAGAGCTCAGTACCTGGTGCAGTTCTGGGGTCACCTGAAGGCAGATGGAGAATGGAATATTTAATTCCCTGGTCAGCATTTTTGAGATTTATCATTATTTTGCTAATAACTCCTAGTGACCAATGATTTGACAGCTTGAAAGTCAAACATGCTGTGTCATTGATTAAGATGGAGTTTAATGGAACCATAATTTCTAGAAAGAATAACTTTCAGTCAAGTTGAACCCAGTTTAATTTGACTACAGTGCTGTCTTAAACTCTTTATATTTTGCTACGAAAATTGGAAATAATCAATAATGTTGAGATCAGGAATCTGGGGAGACCAATCCATGTCTCAATATCAAACGTGCCCAAGGATAATATTTTACCTTGATTCTTAGCTGTTTTTTAATGCTTAAACAATTCATAGCTCAGTGTTATGTACTCAACAGAGAAAACTTTGGTCAGATACAAGGACTCATCTGAAAATGAGTGAAAAATGTCCAACGATAAATGTTGAAAGACCTTCAGAAAGCTTGGAAAATTACGAAACATGCAAGAAAGTCTGGCTCCTTGGGAGTGCAAGAGCAGCTGGCCCTCCGCCGATTACCAAGACTACTTGGAGTACATCTAGAAGATGCGAAATGTAGCTACCGTCACTGAAACTGATGATCACCATGGCAGCAGTGATACCTGAAGCCTTGGAAACTGCAAATCAAAGACTCACATCCTTGGCCAGCCACTTGAAGAGGTATACCAGAGAGCTAGAAGGCAGGAGAATAAACCAGTTGTACTCCACTGAACCATTCAAGGGAGAAGGACACAACTCATAACGGCAATGCTCAGTGGCTAGTGGCTCTAGGAGCAGACCACAGCATCCTTCCCGAACAGGATCCATGGCAGCGACAGACATCCAAGAAAAGGTCCAGTAAGAAGCACCAGGCTCTAACATGATTCATGCCTACTGGCTGAAGAAGGTGACTGCACTGATGAAGCAGTCCAAGATGACACAACAAACATCCATGAACATCAGGAAGATGGCCACAACTGACCGCATGCTTAGTGAATACCTCAGGAAGCAGAAATATGAGAAAGAAGAGGAGCAAGAAGAAAAAACATCATGGAAGGACAACCCCCTGCACGGTATGTACCATCGGCAGATAGAGGAAGTGGCTTATATCAAGCAATCCTACCAGTGGCCGGACAAAGCTGGACTATCTTTCATTCTGGAGGCTCTAATCATGGTAGCATAGGAACAAACTCTGATCCATAGAGGCTGGGGTCTACCACACCAGGCAAGACCCCAGGTGCAGGCTGTGTAATAATGCCCCTGAGACAATCCAGCACATAGCAGCAGGTTGCAAGGTGCTAGCAGGCAGGGCATACATGGAACGCCATAACCAAGTGATCGACAAAGTATACAGGAACATCTGTATGGACTGGAAGTCCCAGGGTCAAAATGGGAGACGCCCTCTAGGGTGGTCGAGAATGACCGAGCTAAGATCCTGTGGGACTTCCAGATACTGGTGATGGATAACCAACTGGACATAGTAGTGGTGGACAAGCAGACAAAGGCGGCTGTAGTGATAGATGTAGCTATACAGAATGACAGCAATATCATGAAGAAGGAACACAAGAAGCTGGAGAAGGGCTCAAGAAGATGTGGAGGGTGAGGGTAACAGTGGTCCCAGTGGTAATCGGAGCACTTGGTGCAGTGACTCCCAAGTTAGGCGTCCAGCAGATCCCAGGAACAACATCAGAGATCTCTGTCCAGAAGAGCGCAGCAAAGATACTGTGCTGGACCCTCTAGCTCCCAGGCCTCTGGTAGAGGACTCGCGCTTGAAGGATAAAGTCCGCCCACAGGGGCGAGAGGGGAATTATATAGTTTATGCACACGTCTTGTGATCTGTAAATCACCAATGGAGTGTCTAATCGGTTCTCTGTGTTGTTCTTCCTGAATTAGTGGTAATAAACACATCTGATGCCATAGTTCTGTCAATAACATTTTGTATTAACTCCTTATGCCTTTTCCCCTGATTATAGTCATTGGCTCGATGAGTTTGGCTACCTCCACTGGGAAATATTCTATTATTAGAGTTTTAATACAAGTTTCCAACAAAAACAACTGCAGATGTTACAGAAAGTTACAAAAATGAAACTCATAACTTTACTAATAAAATGCTGCTTGGAGCCATTTGGTGTTCATTAGGAAGCAGCAGCTCATATTTTCTCTTTTGTCACTTTTTCCTGCAAAAAGGTGGACTGTAAAGAGATCGGATGAAATTAAAGAATTCAGTCTGTGTTCATATTAGCTTTGAATTATTAAGCTTTAATGACTGAATATCTGATAAAGCAAAACCAGTAGGGCCATTTTTAACGATCATTCTTCATTACCTTGAATACACTCCTTTTTTCCTCCCTTCAGTCGACAGATAAGTGTGGTTTTACAGAGCTTATGCACACTGGATGAATTTCAAATTTTTCACCAAAATAGACTGAAGGAGGTGGGAGGGAAGGAGTTCAGAATAATTTATTGATGGAATGCAAATTTTATAGTTGATTTTAAATAACTTACTGATTATCTGAGTACACAAAATCATCAGTGTGAATTTAAATGACGGGACATATAAAATTGTTACCTGGATTCTCTCTGGTACACCTGTGCTGTCCATGCGACTCGCCACATTTACAGTGTTCCCCCAGATGTCGTACTGAGGTTTCCTGGCCCCGATCACCCCAGCCACCACCGGGCCGATGTTAAGACCTAGGAAAAGAAATAAATATAGAATAATTAAAACTGCCAAACAGAGGTGCAGGTTAAAAGATATGATGTATATATCCTACAAAATCAGATCTCAGAATCTTTTCAATTTGGTTCTTTAGTTCCAATTGGGCAAATCAGTTACTTTTACTGGAGCTTTAGTCAACAACAGTCTTACACTCTGCAAAAAAAAGTCCATTTTTCTTTCCTGCTACCCACCTATTTTCATCTTGAAGTTGTTAAAGGAGTGTTCATTGATGTATTTCATCTGGTCCATCAGCCTCATGGCGTAGTCAGCGAGAGCACGGATGTGTGACCGCCCGACCTTGTCATATGTGGAGTCATTGAGGCCGGAGGCTGCCATGTATGTGGAGCCGATAGTCTTGATCTTCTCCAGCTGGCGGAACTGATCCTCGCTGATGATCTGAGGATAGCAGAACGAAGGTTTGTAATATCAGTGGCCATATTTAGCAGAGTTTTGGGTCCACTGGATTCAATAGTAACCAAATAAACACAGCAATCAGTAATTGGATGTTATCAGAGCCGTTGTTCTGCATTCATACATTCAGACAGCTTCCAACTGGAATACTTCAGATCTTACCTCATCAAAGTCGGCGATGATTTCATTAAGCAGTCGCAGGCACTCCACTCCCTCATTGTTGCCCTCCAACTCTACGTAGAACTCAGAAAAGTTACTAATAGAGGCAAACATAACTGCAACACACTCGCACGACTGGTAGTAGAGCTCATCGTTCCGACGTTCCCGCTGCAGGAAGTGAGCAGCCACGTCTTTGGGAAGGATATTGTGGAGCAGACGGCGGTTGTAGGCTTGCAATTCCTCCATCTCCTCCTTTTCCTCTGTGGCCTTGTGAGGAGTTAGAGAACAGGATTAAAGATTAATACTTCATTTACAACTGGATGGATTTTTTATGACATTTGGCACAGATATTGAAGATGCCAAGAAGATGAATGCTAATGAATTTGGTGGTCCCCTAACATATTATCTCGCCCCACCAGCAGCATTCAGTAATATATCCTGACAGGTAATCACCACTAAGTTGTTATTTTTTAAAGAAGGTTCAGGAAAAAACCCTTTTACCTATCACTAAATTTCTTTACTTTGTTTTGGTATCTCAGCCTCACAAAACTGCAAATGGAGCTTGAGACTCACAGCCTTGTTTTTTACTAACCATTGGTGACAGCAGTGAGCTGGAAAATAGAGAGCCCTCCAGCAGCTTTTTTAAATAAGTTTTTTATCCACTTGACTGGATTAGCAACTACAAGCAGAACAGCCTGCTTCACAACCTTCAGAAAATGCCAAAGAAGCCATGAACATCCCTTAAGGAATGTTCTTATTGTCAAATTGATACTGTACTGAATATTATTTGGTTATTATACGCACACTCACACACACACACACACACACATACAGCCTCTGAAATGTTTGTACTTTCTCAAATAAGACCAAAAAGTTTCTTAACAACAGAATTTGGTAAACTATCTCAGTGTTTATTCGTGAAGCAATGATTCATGTTAGGGGATGCAAACTTTTCAGAGTCACGTTTTATACTAATCTAGGTACACCTAAGTACATGCTTACAATTACGAGTGTAACCAATCTTACCGAGCCAATAAAACACACTTGATTACTGAGATTAAGATCATCAATCATTGTCAGCAAGTGTGAATACCTCTATGAAAGCAGATGTTTTGGCAGTTTGTTGGTCCTGAGCAGTCAGGCGTGTGTTAACAGTCCTCCCAGACTATCCAAGAAATCTGCTTGACCATTCTTATTATCCATTAGGGTCCCTAATTTCATTTTTCATTTTCTTCATAGCCAGTTCAATATTTTAACACTAATGTTAAGTCTCCATAATGTATTTTTCAATCTGTTATTCAGATTTACAGTTAGATGAATAATATTATGATCAGAAATATCTCATGTTGAGCACTTGTTCACCCTGTATGTGTCTACATGAGAGCACAGTCTAGGTTTGCAAAGCTGCATCTGACTAAAATGCACATCGCCACCTCATTTCAGCTACCAAGCACGGTAGCGGTGGTGTTTTGAATTGGGCTTCTTTTGCATCCACGGGACCTGGATCGAACATGAACTCCTCTGTACGCTAAAGTATTGAAGAGTCGAATGTGAGTCCATTTGTCCAACAACTACAGCTTGGCCAAAGTTACAACAGATGCTGATCCACAAAACAGCAGTAAATCTACAACAGAATGGCTGAAAAAGAAAAGAATCTAAGTGTTGCAATGGCCCAGCTAAAGTCCAGACCTCAACTCAACTGCAATATACTGCAGAGAGTGAACGGACTCTGTGATGCTGCCTATTTGGTCATTTCTACAAAGCTTTAAAATTACAGCACTTAATTGTTCTCATTGGCTTCTGATTCCAGCCTTCACCTTGACAGGATGTCTGACCCACATTTAAAGTTAATTTGTTGTTTATTCCTATTATCGTCCTTTAAAGGAACACAGTGAGACATCATTTGCATTTCTAACAGATCTATGCACAACTGTTGTGTCCATGCCTGTTTAAATATGTATATTTTCCCTGTCATGCTGATGACGATATTCAGGTACTGCCTAGCCTCATCACTTCTCAAATCACCAAATATTTTCACTTAAAGGAAATAAATGGAAATCCACTTCCTCCTGACAAAGTCTAAATCAACTAAATCAGCTGTTAAATGCCACATTTTAAACCAACTGCAGCTCATTTAAATCATAACATTCTGCATCAAGTGGCGAGTTGGGCTTGCTGGCATATTAGCTGTGTTTATTTTCTTTCAATCCCAACATGTTTTTGAATGAAATTAATTTCCTAGCACAAAATAATAACAGCGATTCCCTTCCTAAAAATGCAAATTTATGCTAAAAAGCACACCAAATACGTACAGTATCTACAAAGTCACATAACGACACTTAACACGGATACCAGGAGGAAAAAAAACCAAAACTACTTTTTAAGCATCAGAGGCCAATGGAATCATAACTATACAAGGGGAAGGGGCAGCGATGCGCTATAGGTTCTGTTTACTCTTGTTCTCACACACGCACACACACACACACACACACACACACACTAACCTGCAGTTTCCACAGGAAGTCAAGCCTTGCTGTTGACTCCACCTGCTGGGCGTGAAGGTACAGGGCAAGGACGAAGACTGTGATCACCACTGGAGTCATGATCTTTAGAGGCACCTTGTCTACTCCACACCTGGAGGTCAGCACATACACATATTAGTATTACAGATAGATTTTATGCCGAGTTACCCAGCTACCACAATCACTGATATATGCAGGTATTACACAGAGTTAAAGATGTACTCTGCAGGAAAATAACATAAAACACAAAAACAAGCTGCCCTCTAAATCTTGGCTAATTAGCGTTAGCATCTGTTGCCAGCAGGTCATTATAGTTCCATTTGTGCCAGTGGAGTGATAATGATGCTGTTAGCGTAAACAGATGACAGAGACCACTTTGGGTCCCGCCATCAGTCTCACCTTGTTCCATTCATGGGCTCACTGTGAGGGAGGAACAGAGAAGAGCCGGTGAGCACTTAGAACATCTGCACACCTTCAAAGCTTTAATCATTACAGGCATGAAATGACACACAGAGACACACACAGGTGTAATAAAGAGACTCACGCGTTGTTGATGGCATTGGCCATGACCAGCAGGTCCTGGTTGTCAAAGAGGCTCACTTTGGGAACCTCCATGATGAGAAGGTAAAGCAGTTCGATGAAGAGCATGAGGAAGAGCTTACCGATGCTGCTGACCTGCAGGAAGACGGAACAGGCCAGCAGGCTCAGCAGCACGCAGGACGAGAAGTACTGAGGGAGAAAATGCAGAGACTATTGTTTAGTGGCCAGGCTTTATATGCTGCAACAGTTCTGACTGAACAAGCTGCATCTGGATGAGTTATAAAACACACGATTAACCCACATTTTCACTGCTTAACTTCTAATTTGAGCACGAGTGTGCACACCAAATGTTAACATTTACAGCTGCAATTACCCCCACTTAGCACCCATTTGTTCTGCTCCCAAAATTTCGTTTCATGTCAGAAGTCTCACATTGAAATCTTACAGTTACGTGTGTGTGTGTGTGTGTGTGTGTGTGGTGTTCAAAAAAAAGCAATGCAGTACTTTGTAAGACAAATTTTACCCAATTTTAACCATGTGTTTGCTCTAACAGTGCATTTTGGAATGATGGTATACAAGGTGATTTCATTACACCATTCGTCACAGCAGAAAGCAATGATTAGATGTCATAATGCTCATTAATGTTCTATAAAGTACATAACTTGTTTAAGCACATGCATTTCTCTCTTTTTAGTGCTTGTGTTTTATCGTTGCTTTTTTTTATTGCTTGCAGTTTTAATATTGTTGTGCATCACCTTGAGCTGCAACACCTGGTTGAAAAGTGTTGTATGAATGAGATTCTGCCCACATTTTATCCCTATGTGGGAAACTTGGCAGCAGCACCTGAGTCGTATTTGTGTCTTATTTAAGTCCTGGACTCGTGCCATTGGCTGTTGTTCAATTTAGGATTAATAAAATTAATTTGCACTTATGCGGACAGCCCGCAGGTTATCCATCAGCTCCGGTCTCTTCTGTTTCACCTCACTGCCCAACCAGCTGCAACAGATGGCTGACCTACCTAAGCCACAGTCTTGTTCTCCGTGCGGTGTTTGCTCGTACGGATTATTGGATCAATGAGGTTTGCTCTGTAATATTATAGGGTTTTTACATTACAATATAAAGCGCCTTATGATGACTATATGTTATGTTACGCCCATGGTATTCAGCTGGAAAAGAGTGGAGGGTCCACTCTGGGTCAGGGAGGAGTCCCTGCTTAAATGTGGAGGAATTTGGGGTCTTGTTTACAAATGAGTATAGCGAGAGATTGATACATGGACTGGGGCCATGTCGCTGTACCAGTCATTTGTGGTGAAGGGAGAGCTGTGCATAAAAGCGGAGCTGTTGATTTACGGGTCATCTATGTCATTGATGTTCACAATCTCTGGGTAGTGACTCAAAGAGACACACACAAGCAGCACAAATGAGCTTTCTCCGAAGGACAGCTGGCCCCTGCCTGAGAGAGAAAGTGAGGAGTTCAGTGAGTCAGGAGGAACCTCCTGGGCACTTCTTGGGCGAGGAAATCCAGGCATGTCCTGCTGGGAAGAGTTCTTATGGGTAGACCCAGGACTGGAGAGATTATGTATCTCAGCTAGCCTGGAACCACCTTGGTGTTTCTTCGGATGAGCTGGAGAAAGTGGCTGGGGAAAGGGAGGTTCGGGCTTCTTTACTGCCCCTGTGACCTGGCCTCGGATAGTGGCAATGGAAGGAAGAATGGAAAGAGGGATGGATGGTTGGATGGAAGGAACTTAATTGATCTATTAAGGCCTGATGTAATGTACTTTAGTGAGTTGACCAGCAGATTTTAGTATTTAAACTTCAACTGGCATTTTCTGAAAGGTTATCGTTTGGCTGTACTTTTTTTAGACAAATCATCCGCCTAACTTTCCTTAGTCTTCAGCAAACTTGGATCTTCTTTTCTTTGTTTGTTGTGTCATACTTTAAAAGGATACCTGTAAATTTATTGATGAAATAATCTAATAAATAAAACAGATAGGCCATAGATAGAACAAGGCATCTGTACCTCAGGAAAGCTGCAGATGAGGCCATCATGTCCACAGGGGCTGTGTTGTGTGTCCAGGCTGTAGTTAAGGAAGTAAGCATGGCAGGCATTGACACTGTCCAGGCTGATGTTGTGCTGTGCTTTGATGCAACTCCACAGGTCATGGCTGCTGCACGTGAACTAAAAAGTGTCAAAATTATTGCGAGACTTTTAAATCCAGACACTCAAAAGCATCATAGTCAAAAACCTCTCCTTGAAACATTGACCCATGACAAGAAAATGGGAATTTGGGAATCCTGTTAATGAAAACTTACAATGTTGACGAAAGCAGAAAGAAAGACGATGATGATGGTGAAGACACCAACCAAGGTGCTGTTTAGTCTAGACTGAACTATTCTCTTAGAGAGTGTCTGCAGAGGCACTGGGAAGATCTGGAGGACAGAAGAATTCCAACAATTAATATTCAGTTTTAATTTAATTAACTGACTTCATTTTCTCAGTCACTGGTTTCCAGTTTGATCATGCTTTTACCGCTCTGTGTAAAAAAGAGGCTCTGCTTTTTTTCATATTTAGTTTTAAAAAAAAAGAGCCATGACTCACCGTTATGAAAACCTTCAAGCAGCAGCTCTATTTTTCTCTTCTCAAACCTTTCCCGTTTCTTGTGAATCATCAACAGCAGAAAGAAAACTGATCGACAAAAGGATTTACGGTCTCACTGCAAATCTTATTTGACAAGGCCCACTTTATAGAAACTTGTGGAAGAGATTGTGAAAATTTGCGAACTTATTAACTCCAGAAGAATGTACCAGATAATTACATTAGAGGCAGCGCAACAAAGTAATCAACTGAGCTGCATGCTATTCTGTAACTGTCTTTATTACAGCACAGCGCCCAGTACCCCTGTGTTTACTGAACAGGCACCAAATACGCAGCTGAAGACGTAGTGCAAAAAGAACATCAGCTGCTTCTGTTAAAGCACAATCTGTTCTTTGCTAAAGTCCACACAAACAGATCAAAACTGAGAACAGAGGGAGGAAACAGCTACCTAAACATTGGGAGATTGATAATATTTTACTAAAATACTATTCCTTAAGTTATCCTATGAAATGCAATTTTAAAAAAAATGCTGTGTTAGCTGTTATTTAAAAATGAAAACTCCATAACATTTGACTAGGATAACCATGTGAAATATCTTCAGTTTTTACCTGATATTTAGAGTCACAGGCTTTGTTAAGGGTACAGAGTGTAAAATCGCACCACTAGACGTAAATAGATTGCAGTCGACTGCGAGTTTTTAAGGATATCCTAAACTTTTCTGTGGGTAAACACTGCTGTTAGCCTCTGTTAGCTGCTGTTAGCCTCTGTTAGCTGCTGTTAGCCATCGTCAGTGAAGTGTATCTAACATGGTTGGACTTAGTGAATAAACTCTGATACAATGTGTGGTTGTAATTCGGCTGTCACGAGAGGGAAAGTGGGATTTTTAGGACACTCGAGCCGAACATTAGCTTGTATAATGTTAGCTTAAAACCAGCTGCTGTTGTTCAGCCGGCTCATTGTCAGCTGTGTGTAGATGAGAGGATCGCATGTCTAATCTGCTGACAACAAGTAAGTGCGACAGTCATGAGTTAGAGCTCTGTTTTCAGTTCAGGGGATGAGGCTAGCAGTTAGGAGGAAGAGGATGATGTTTTATTAAGATGCCAGTCCTGCTGTCTCTTTCCTTCATGTTCAACTTCACATACTGTAAGCATGAGCCTTCACATCTTGAGCCTGAAGGTGCAGGTATGAATTAACATTTGCCTCCTAATGAATTCCTATGAGTTCTCTTTTCCCCGCCTTTGGCAAACTACACATGTGGCTGGTCTCTAGCTGAACAAATAAAACCTGATTTGGTGGAACCGAGATGTCCGTTTCGGCAACTGTGTTGAAGATAGCGAGGCAACATGACAGCTTCCACAAATTGGAGCCTGCTCCTATTTATTTTAATGGACTAATTCTAAGTTTATGAGAATGCATCAGTTTGTTGGAATTACATATTGCATGTAAGTACCCACTAATTAATGTTTATCTATGAGTAGAATCTTTTTGTAACTCAAAAAACAATAATTGCACCTTTAAATACTGATCAAATTGACAGCAGAGACTGCTGAAAGTTTATGTTGTTGCTGTTGAAGTTTATAGTCTAGTAACCTTAAGCTAATATGCATAAAGTTTTATAGAACAAAGTTGAACAAAGGCTCCCTCCTGTGAATAATCTTGTGCAAGAATACAGACAAACTACAGAAACATGAAACGTATCCTGAATTATGTTAGATAAAGTAAATATGAGATGGAGCAGCTTTTCTCAAAGACTCACATAAACACGAGGGAAACTTAACAATTTTTAATTCATATAATAGATACGCACCAAGGGAGTCTGTTGTAAAAATGTAACAGATTCTGATCAAAAAGAACTTCCTTTGAGGAGAATATCTTTCATTTTCTAGATGAAGGATTCTCTGACCACAATTCATAACAAGTACAGCATCCAAACCACAGCCCGATAAAACATTTAGATTTGTCTGAACGATGTCTTACGCTGAACCGAACTGAAACGAGGCAGCTATCTTACGGGATAACATTCTCATAAAAGCATCTATAATCGCTTGTATTGGTTATCACTTTGCCGAATGCCTTATATCTGCAACAAATCTGAGCAAAGCTCTGAGTTTCTCTGTGTCATTCATTACAAGCATAGACTTCTCACCCCAAAACAGCAGTACACAGCTGAGACGAACATAACAGCCGTCAGGATAATGAGACAGGTGACGAAGAAGCCGATCATCAGTCTGGAGCTGCAGACAACAAAGAGATTGGATGTGATTATATATCTACTGCAATATTTATTACTCTGCAATTCACAGTCAGTGTGGCATCTGATAAGTTAACACTTTCTCTTTATAGTCTACAACCTTGTGCTAAATACTGTGGAAGTAAACATCTTACTCGTGGGTGTGACGGGAATGAATAACACCAAAGAGAAGAAGCATTAAGATTAAGAGGGTAAAAGCGATTATAAAAATAGATTAAATAACAAGGGACATGAGATGTGAGGAGGCAGCCTATGTGGGACTTTAAGGACAGGATTAAAAGACAAGAGAGGAGTGGTGAGATGAAAGTACTGAGGAGAAAGGTTAATAAAGAGGCAGGCTAAAGAAGATCAATACTGAGAGATGGGCAGGGAGAAACCTCGGAGTGCAGTTTGCAAAAAAAGAAGAGAGAGAGGAGGGCTCGCTTTGAGACAAAATCTGACAGAGCTTTAAAATCTGGCCAGTGCTCGGGTGCAATTATGCTGATTTTGATCTGATATTCTTTTTTATTACTCATCATCTTTTATTACTCCTCTATTCAGTGATTCATCTTTATAAGTCCTGTTTTAAGGATAAAGGCTGAAGAATTTGGAAGAGAACTTGGAACAGACAGCATTAAGACTAAAGCTGTGCCGAGTTTTGTAAGGCTCCAAAGCCTGAACGCACACACTGACCACTAACAAAGACATAGTTTCTAAACAATTTATTAAAACGCATGTATTAGTGCTTATGAAATATAAGCAGATAGTTATATTTGCCTAATAAAGACAGCTTTTGGGATTATACCATGGGAGCACTATTTAGAAGACCAAGCAATTCAGTTTCAACTTGGAGCAGCAACTTATATATACACCCACTGGCCACTTTATTAGGTGCACCTTGCTAGTACTAGGTTGGACCCCCTTTCGACTTCAGACTGCCTTAATTCTTCATCACTATCAGCCTGAACTGATGATGCAGCACAGCACAGATCATGTTAACACCAAATTTGATGTTCCAGCAGAAACTGAGACTCATCATACCAGGAAGCACTTTTCGGTTTTCTTCGGTAAGCCTGTGGGAACTCCAGCCTCAGTTTCTTGCACTCAGCTAACAGGAGTGGCACATTGTGTGGTCTCTAAATTTACAGTCCATCTGCTTTTAGTTTTAATGTGCTGTGAGTTTAGTGATGCTTCTTGGTTTTAACGACTGGTTATTTAAGCCTTAATATCAGCTTACCATTCTCCTCTGGCCCCTGGCGTCAAGTTCTCCCAGAGAACTTCGGCTCACTGGATAATTTCTCTATTTTCAAAGCATTCCGTGTTAGCAGATTCTCAAATACTCAGACCAGCAACATTCGGAGCCACCTTTTATCCCCATTTGATGCTTCTTTGAAGTTCAGCAGGTCGTCTTGACCGTGTCTAAATGCCTAAATGCTGATTGGATGATGAGATATTTGCATTAACAAGCAGCTGAACAGGTGTACCTAATAAAGTGGCAAATGTTGACCTACCCAATTTTGATTGTGTAAAGCAGTAGTTCTCAAACTAGGCCTTGGAGACGCCGGGGGTCCAAAGCCCATGGCCATGAAGTTCACAAAATAATTTGCAATGAATATTAAAATTGTGCTGCATTATTAAAAACTGCATTTAGACCAAAAGGAATATTGATTACCCCGTCCCACCCCCACATTATCTTTTATGTATATTAAGAAAAACCTTTAGTAAGAAGTGCTCTTTCTCCAAAGTTCTAGTCCTAAAAGTTTATCTGATTTTAATATATAAATGAATCGTGTGGCTCACTTTGTGTACTCTGCACTTATTTATTTCATACATTTGAGCTACAGTTGTTTAAACTGTAATCAGAGTAAACTTTTCAAAGTTGTGAAGTAAATCTCAAACTTCCACGGTCCTATCTGTGTATTATTTCCAAGTGTTGACTCACGGTGGCACGATGACAATCTGGATGAAGCAGATGAAGAGAAAGACGAGGGAGGCGCAGGCCACATAAGCCCCAAACCTGGAGTCCACCTGTTTGGAGTACTGCAGGAGGGAAGGAGACAGCAGTTCAGTGACACAGACTTTTCTTACATTCTGTCCCTCTGACGGCATGAGGGGTGAAAAACATACAAAACAACCAACAAGATAAAAAAGTATGAAAAGTCTGACTCAATTATGTCTCTCTGGGTATTTTGGAACGAGTACGTCAACACCACAGACGCTTGTAGCAGAGCTGTACTCGAGTCAGACATAAATCACAAAAATGACGAGTTCACACTTGACATGGGTTTAACTAGTGTAAGCCTCGACTTTTATTTATTTCTCTAAATACTTCCTCTTCATTCGGAGAATCTGGGAACAGCTGACATTTAGTGCAGATGACATTTAACTCCGTCAAGATTTGAGGCTGCTTTGAAATCCCATTTGAAATTAGAAAGCAAGAGCTTGAAATACTCAAGCTTTGAACCAGTCAATAAAAAATTAGAAAAATAAAGACAAGAAAATGTAAAAATATGACAAGAGTTTGAACAGTTGATTCTCTCGAGCCTGCAGAGCACAGGCATAATTTGTTCGTGCAGACGTAAATTCTGACTTAGACTTTCGTATGCGAGAACAATGGCTGAAAGACAGTGAGGTTTTCAAGTGAGTATTGATATTTCAAAGCTGAAAAGATTGTTTCGTGATGTTTGTTGAAGTTTAAAAAAGAAAAAAAAATTGGTTATTGGCGTTTTACAGCTGAAAAGAAAACCATATCCCGATATCAAAAAACTACTTACGATCCTTAAAAATGAAAGAAATCTTAGCAACTGATCCGTGTCTGGCATGTGCAGCATGTGTTTATTTTACTGGATAAACTCTAAGTTGAAATACTCCTTCTGTATGGCCAAAAGAAACTTGTTTCTCCAAACTTGGAGATATTGCTGTGCCTCAAAATCAAACTGTGGATCAACAGGATTTAAAGATTGTACACGAGCCTAAAGGCAGAAGTGGTCTGACAGACATGGAACCGGAGGCTCTCCAAAATTCCTTCAGATCTCGCTTTCACCGTACATGAAGCAAAAACTCTTTTTCCCTTTTTCCTCCCAAATTCCTTTTATAACAACCCAGCTGCAAACCTCTTCTCAGCCTGCCATTCACTGTCTGAAGCAGTTTCTCTTCTCCATTTAAACCCCTGCTTCCTCTCTTTCTGTGTTATACTTTGCTTTTGAGTGACTTCCCAGAGGGACCGAAAAAGAGAGAGCTTTTTGCACAAAGAAGATTGCTTGTCACGGCCAATTATCTTTTGCTATATTGGCAGTTGGACTTTGTGTGTCCGCGTGTGTGCGCGTCTAACCTTTTTCTCCAGGTCAGGCTCTCTAAAGGTGAGCAGGAATTTCTTGACGTGTTCCGAGCGCAGACGGTCGATGCTGCGCGCGTCGATGGCCCGGCCCAGAAACTCATCCACCTCGTCCTCTGGGTTTAGGTTTTCCTGTGTGTTTCTGAAAATAAAATGCCTGAATAAAACAAGAGGAGACTGATTGACATTTACATTTCATGCCGAGTCAACAAAGACTGTTTGGCTTTACTGCAGCTAAACTTTTTGATCCACTGCTTTCTTAAAGAACTTGTCTGAAAATCAAGCCAAAAGACTTTCTTAATAACTATTGACTAAACAGAAGTTTACTAAAACTGTTCGAGAGTCACCTTAACAACCCACTGTAACCTGAGGTGTAGCTGCAAATAGGAAATCATACACAGTGCTGCGATCTGATTTCTTAGGGGCTTTTTTTTGCATACATCATCAAATTAGTTTGATGATCAGAGATAAGCTTTCTTTTTGAAAGTTGACTTCAATTCAATTCAAGGCCTGATTACTACAAGACCTGAAGAATTAAGAAATCCCTGTTTGACAAAGTGAGGCAGACTCAGAGATCTTAAAAAATGGCAACACAATCATGCCACAGTCTAAAGAAACTCAAGAACAGATAAGTAAGTGATTGTCATCCATCAGTCTGCAAAGGACTACAAGGCTATTTCAAAGGCTTTGGGACTCAAGTGAACCACAGTGAGAGGCATTATTCAAAAAATGAGCAGTGTTGGGGAGTAACGGAGTACCGCCGTCACGTATTTAAAATACAAAATATGAGTAACTGTATTCCGTTACAGTTACTGTTTAAAAAGGTGGTATTCAGAATACAGTTACTTTGTTGAAATAAATGGATTACACAGCAGTACTTTCCTGTTTCATATTGTGGCGGGTCAGGACTGTTTCGGTTTCGTTTGACAGCTACGTTCTGTTGTTCCAGGCGGCAGCGTTATGGTTACCATGGTTACAGGGTGACGCTCTCTCTCTCTCTGTGACTGTGTTTCCTGGGTGAGAGAGCGCCTTTTTGTTGTTGTTGTTGTGCTAAGCTAAAAGGTAGAGTGTTACAGACATAGCTCTAAAGAATGTAGCATCATGGGCAGTGTAGTCCGTGCTGCAGGGAGAATGGACTGCCATACCCGTTATGTGTCTGTGAGCGCGAGGAGGGAGAAAAAGGAGAGTCGAAAAGCAGGAGTTATCGTCAAGCAGAAACGGGAGCTGGAAGCATGTAAATATAATAATAACCACTGCAGCCAAGAAGAGTGCCTGACGAGCCCAGTTGTAAGTAAGCTATTAAGACTCGACTGTACGCTGTGTTCGTGTTTTCCTCCGAAACAATAAGTTCCGTTGGAGCAGCCTTTCAACGCCTCTCTCTGTCTCTCGCAAGCAAAGTTGACCCAGACAACAAAGTAAAGCTAGTTTTCAGCTACGAGCCCAACACGGGACATGACGTATTAGTCAGAGGTCCTTTACTACAGTTCGGAGCCGCGGACCTTCAGTAACAGTAATAAATCACATTCACGTTGTTGTAAACAGCATGATAATATATTAAATAATCCAAAGTATTCAGAATACGTTACTCTCATTGAGTAACGTAACGGAATACATTACAAAATACATTTTGAGGCATGTATTCTGTAATCTGTAGTGGAATACATTTTAAAAGTAACCTTCCCAACACTGAAAATGAGAACATGGAAACAGCGGTGAAGCTTCCCAGGAGAGGCCAGCCTAACAAAATTACTCCAAGAGCACATAGGCAACTCATCTGAGAGCTCATTAAAGAACCCAGAACACCATGTTAAAAACATCTAAAGGTCAGAGTTCATGATTCACAATGACAAAGAGACAAGACAAAAATAGCACCCATGGGAGAGTCCCAAGAAGTAAACAGCTGCTGATCAAAATGGAAACAAAGACTCATCTCACATTTACCAAAAATCGTCTTGATGATCCCAAAGGCTTTTGGGAAAAGATTCTGTGGACTGATGAGAGAAAATTTGAACTTCTTGGAAGCTTTGAGTCCCATTACAGCCGGCATAAACCTAGGCCCAGTCAAAATCTGCACTTAAATCTGATTGAGATGCTTTGGCATAACCTTAAACAGGTCAATCATGCTCAAACTCTCCTGGCTGAATTAAAATAATTCTGCAAAGAAGAGTGAGCCAACATTCTTCCACAGCAGTATGAAAGACTCATTGCCAGTTATTGCAAATGCATGATTGCAGTTCTTGCTGCCAAGGCTGGCACAACCAGTTATTGGGTTTAAGCAGCAACTGCTTTTTCACGTATTGTCAGGTAGAGTTGGATAGCTTTTTTCCCTTAATAATTGAACTTATCATTTAAAAACTGTATTTTTTTATTTCTTTGGGTTATCTTTGTCCAATATTAACATTAAGTGTGAAAACGATGGAAGAAACTGAGAAGTCAGGAAGATTTTTCACATCTCTGACCTGAAAGATCACTGCAGCCCTCAAACTTGAACAGTCAGATGAGACAATTTGTCTAAAAACAATCACTAAATCTGCAAAACACAGATTCACCTACATATAAAATGCATTTGACGGTTAGTCTGGAATACTGTGTTTGGATTTAACAATACCCAGAAGTTGAGCGATTGGAGGCAGAATTTTAGGAGTTGTTAAGTAGTTAATTGGAATATTTTGTGTAGACATGTCTAACTTTAAAGGTTTTGTCTTTAAACACTTGTCAGTTTCAGTGCTGTACTGTAGCTCTAATCGGTGGCATTTGAGGCCTCAACAAATCAGAAAGAAAGGATTGGTTTGTCTCTACGATGTCAAGTCTTAATATACGTTACATTCACTGATTTTAAGACAGATGGAAACAGATTTCCAAACTGAGCTGTGACATCGTATCCAGTGTAGCAGTTGACGAAAAACCCAGCATGTACTTCCTCTCGACTCTAAAAACCTGTCAGTCTGCATAAGAAGTAAGATCTGTGCTGTAGCCCGCGGCAGAGGCAGAGGCTTGGATGCTGCAGCTCAGAACAAACTCACATATACAGAACTATTTGGAGGAGAAGAGGAGGACAGCTTCTCCATAAATGACAGCTCCTCTTTGATCACTGAGAGCCTTTGGCTTAAATATCCCTTCCTCTGCCCTTTTTTTTTGTAAATCTTGGATGAAACAGTTGATACTGCAACACATTAAGAACATAAACTCTGTCCAGCAGCAAAAGACTCATGGAGAGAATCAGAATTTAGACACTAGCACTCGTGCAGGTGGATTATACGACAACTGCAAGCATTCATCTGCTAGAAGCGATCCTGGAACACGTTTAACCTGCCCTCCAAGAAACGTTAGATGACTTATCGATCAATGATGCTTAAAACTGTGATTGCAACCACCAAGCTCTGATAAGTTCATATATCGATGGACGCTGGCACTTTTTTATTATCTTAGCTGTGTACACAACACATATTCAAGCTACAGCTGCATGATAAAGGGTTAAAGTGCAAATGCAGACTCCTGCATTACCTCTTCCATACAAAACTGCCCTAATTTTCACTTTGAACCTCCAACATGTTGAAAACTGAACTGAGCCTGGTTCTTCCTATTAAAAGGGAGTTTTTCCTTCCCACTGTCGCCTAGTACTTGCATAGGGGATTGTTTGATTGTTAAGGTTATCTCTGTATTATTGTAGGGTCTTTACCTTACAATATAATATGCCTTAAGGTGACTGTTATGATTTGGCACTCTGGCAAAACCGAATTGAAAACCCCCCCAAAACATTTTAATTTAAACTGATCCTTTACCTGGACACTGACTCTCATACAAATCAAAGATCTTGCACATCATCTTATTATTATGCCATTTATTCTGACTTTCCAGTTAAAATTACCAGTGACAATCATATTTGTGTTTCAAAGTGCTTCTTCTTGTCTTTCAGCTCATTTTCAGGATCATTGCCTATCGTCTTGGGCAAAGCAAGAACAAATCCTCTAAGGTGGCACACAGACAAAACAACAAGCACAATGAGTCACTACTCACTTGTCTTTGGGGTCTTCAAAGCCCTGCAAGAGAGAAAGGACAACAGGAAATAGGATTTTTAGAGCAGCGCGTGGTAAAGGTGTTTAATCTTTTCAAACCAGATTGGTTCTGCTTTCTTTTTCTTTACAGCTAAACGCTCTTTTAATACAACTCAGAACAATCACATCAACATATCTGGTGATTCACTCAATGAAAGCATTTTTAAAATGATAAAATGAATAACAAAGCAAAAACATCCAATGTTCTGCAATATTTAGAAGTTGTCATTCTACATTAAATATCTGTCATTCTGCAATGTTTGGACTAAACTGCTTGGCGATCAGTGTGTGCTCTGGCTGTTCTGACGGTGATTTAGAACAATTTTTTCAGAGATAACAGCCCAAGCAATCTCCCAAGACATCTTCAGCTAATGAAAGGTACCTCAGCAACAACAACCCCCCATCACACACACACACACACACACACACACACACACACACACACCCCACACACACCCTTCGGACGAGTTATATCACTACAGTGGTTTAGATCCTTCCTGTGATTTTCGGGATTTATATACACCGCTTAGAGGCGGTTATTGCTTCGGTTGAACCTTGCCACAAATTATTTTAATTTTCTAATTTTCCTTTTCAAACTACATTAAGGAGCCTCAGCCTATCATCATTCCTCTGATTGAAGCTTGTTCAATTTAACTTCACAAATAATGAGCAACCGCAACGCTGCCATTAGACAGCTATTGGGGGCCTGATGACATAATAATTACCCTGAGCCAAATGAAAAATACGCTTACAGGGAAAGGTTCGCTGTGGCTGGAAACCAGCAGACACGGGGGGAAAAAAAAATCACCCAGATCACTTCAGGTATGAACTGAATAAAAGACATTTGCATCTAACTCAGCTCAAGATTTGGACCGTTCGCCCACTGTCAGCTCTATTCGGCAAGAAATGACGGCTATGATTGACGTGAAATTAAACGTTTTTGGTAGGTTTTGAGTTTTTCAGCAGAGATAAACCGACAGAATGAGCAAAATAAGAAAGATGTAAGAAGTGGAGGCTTTGTTGTCGAGCAGAGGTAAACAAGACGAGTTTCAAATGTTATTTTCACCCCTTTGAAATGCAAAGATAGAATATGTCTATAAACAAACAGGTGCAAAGCACACAACTTTAACACTTTGGGTGAACTGTCCTGCAAAACGATGCAGTGTGCTGTGTCATGGAAAAAAAATGCAATATATTTTTTAAACTGTTTTTCATTATGAAGTCACATTAATCATATTTTGTTACTCAGTTTGTACTATGTTCAGATTGTCACTGTCATTAAAGTATTTGGCCATATTACAGCATTACAGAATACCACCTTGCAGATATTCAAATTGCTCTACCTCCCTCTTGTGGTGAAACACACAAATGACTATGCTGAAGAAATATTCAGCACAGCTAACCCCTGCATGAAAGTAAGGGGGAAAAAAATCAAATAGGAAAAAGTGAAAGGTAAAAACGAAATTATTTGCATTCCTGCCTGCTCCACTGCTTCCTGTTTGCAAAAGCAAGAGGCTGAATGGGCAGCAGGAGTAGAAGTACATGTGTAAAATCCTGAATACCTCCAAAGTCCATTCTGTGTCTGACAGACATAACCAGGTTTCCTCCCGGTTATATAAAAACCCTCCCTCATGCTCTCTGTGCATATTTGATTCCTTATTCTTTACAGCTCTGTTTCAAAGCTCGCTCCAGAGCTTGCTGTGATTAATGAAGACTATGGAGATATGGGGTGAGAGAGTAATAGGCAGAAAGAAAACTGAGGCTGACAATGAAGGAAGGCAGAGCCGCAGCAAATAAAGTTGATGTCAAAGCGTTCGTGTTTCTGCAAACTTTTATAGGACTTTGGTGACACACTCATCTGATATTAGGAAAGAAAAACAACGCAGCTGCTGATGTGATGTCAGGACGAGTAATTGAACGTAGTCATCCAGGACGATGAGAGATAAGATGATTTTTGTGCTGAGCAGCCTTAGCTCTAAGTGCCAGAAGGATCCAATGTAAATCAATGCAGCATTAATTTGATGTTGTTTCTTTTTTTATGTGCACACTTGTTGTAGCATTTATGCTACACAGAGCTCCAAGTCAGCTACAGAGCCCCCTGTGGGTCACATAAAAATACAGAAAGTAATACTTAACTGTGCAGACAGTTTTTTTTTAATGAAAAGTAATCGTTTTAAAGCAGAACTGAGGTTTCTTTTAAAATAAAAGCACACTGGTTAAAACGGTCAATGGGGAGTTTGCATGTTCTCTGTGTACCTGGCGAACTCTCCTGTGCATTGCCTCGGTCCAGATGCTGTACCCCAAGTTGTTTCCAATGCTTTGGTCAGAGTGGGATTGTTACAAAGAACTAAGATGTAGAAAAGGGTGTTTGTATATTCACGAGACAGGTAAGCTTATTGTTCTGTCTGGCTGTGCTCACAACCTGACATTACACTCATTTAGTAGACAGATCGATCCAAAATAACTTTTATAAAATGTGCTCAACCTACCTATAAACATGACCTAAATATTATTATTAAATATTTGTATCTGTTCTCATTCTATATGTCTGACATCAAACATTAAAGTGGTATTCTTGTTTTTTTTAGTCGTGCATCTCTATAACACTGAGTTCAGTACTTCCTTATGTCCAGATTTTGATTTTCCCGCATTGGAAGTGAATAAAAATATCCCACTGAAAGCTAAAAGATTTGCAACAAACGGCAAACTACAACTGTAAAGCAGCCTTTCCATTACAAAAGTGCAGTTCATTGATGATGCCACAAGCTGAGCAGGACTTAATAGGATGAGAAAACTACAGAAGCAGAAAAAAAAGCTGTGCTTGCTGTTATCTTTTCTGTTGTGGTTATCAGATTGATTCATCTTGTTATGTGGAACTAAAAGAAAAGGCAGATCTCGTTCTCTCTCTGAGATGTTCCCAAGCATAGCAAGATATTACAAGAAAAAAATAAACCCGTTTTGCTTCTTGTGATCACGAGATGCGTGCGGACAGCTTGGTAGCCGTGAAGACGACCTGGCTGTTTGATTCAGGGACTAAGTACGGGTTTGTTCTCCGGGGCGCTACAATTGATAGATTAGATCAACACTGAATTTTCTGTATTACAAAAGGTGAGAAGGCTCAGCAAGAATAAAACACACGCTGCTACTTTTAAGTGGAGTAGAGATTAATCAGCCTGATGCACGTCAATAATAGGCTAATTATATGCATGGCCCATGAGGATAACAGCACAGGGAAGAAAAAACCCTTTTCATTCCTCATGTCAATGAAATCATTAACTTGTTATTGCGGGAAAACCAGATTTGCTTTACAAGATATTTAACCGCTTTTCACATGATAACATAATTACAAGCTGTTCTGATCTGATCTGAGAGAAAACTGCTTTTGATGTGAAAAAAATGATGGGATTCACCTTTTAATAGATACTTTTTGTGAATATTACCAATTTCAAAATAAAACGTGTAGAACAGAATCCATTTCCCTCAATATATAACAGCGCACATGTTGCCTGGACTTCATCGTCCTCTTTCCTGCCATAGATACAGTGAGAGGTGAGTGGATTGGGGATATAAGAAAAACAGGCATAGGTGCATCCATTCGCCAAGTGAGTCACTACATGCAGGCTCGGCTCAGCAGGAAGTGCTACGGTACGTAAATAACAATCAGTCTCGGTGAGGTTCCATCTCTCTGCCGTTGCTACATTTCCCGCTTAACTGCGGCCGCCTACATGTTGCTGTTGTCCCCCTTGCACGAGTGCTCCCGAGAGCCTCTTGGATCCAGGGGTAAGGTGTGAGAGGCGAAGTGAGCTGCTGCTTACCAGGACTGCAGATCTCGCACACAAGAATTTCACTCGCATGTGCTGTGCCAGTGTGCCTGCACATGTGATGTGACAATAAAAGTGATTTGATTATTGTATTAACAACAGGTTGGCTTCATCACCAAATGAGAGCCAAGATGTGATATTGGCAGGAGAGTCACCTGGCTTTAGCACTCCAACAACACCAAAAACAGCAGCACTACAAAGCAGACCATTAGAATGCTTTTAATCTATCGATAAACATTTGTTTAAAAAAATCTTGTCTTACCATCCTCTTCAGATCTTTGGAGATCTGATTTCCACCTAAATGGTTGTAAAAGGGACGGTCGGTCCAGTGTCCACTGTTGTGGGTGACAGAGTTGGTCCTCTGCCGGTTCATTTTGGCAATCATGGCCTTTTCCTCTTTCTGTAAGACAGAAAAAGCAAAGACAGGTTTTAGAAATAAAATTTACACATACAAGTTCACACATTTTGCGAGAGTTATAATAACATATTTTAGGATTTATCACCTTTTATCAACTGCAAATTATATACTTGTGAATATCTCTTCTATCCAATAAGATAACGTTATCTCACAGTGCTGGCATGATTATCAGTCGTGCCAACACTGTCACCAAAACCTGCCATGAATGTTGCCTTAAGATGGAGTCATCTGCTACCAGTTTGTGAATGAAAGTGGTGAATCTGGGAATTCCATGTAATCGGTTTCTAAAAAAAAGCAATTAATTGGGACAAATCATCAAAAATCGAGCCTTGCTCCTGAATTAGGAAGTAGCTGTGTCAAGCTAAGCGTGTCCAGTGCTGAATGATTTTATTTGGTTGATGTAGGTTTGTTTGTCTGACACTATCTGAGGATGGGGGAACATAAAATAAACCCTCTTTTTACGGTATTCCCAGAGTATTTAAATGCAAAAATAAGCACACTCCTTGTGGAAAGCCTTCCTGTTACAGCTGCAACGGTTGGTCCACATCATATTTAAACCCTATGGGTTAAGAAAGGAAAATATGAAGGCAGATGAGCAAATCCTTTTAGCAACGTTGAATGTCACATGACTTTCTCTGTGTTTGGTCACAGTTGATTATTGGAAATGTTTTAGATTAGCCCTTGCTAACTCTGATACATTTATAACAATGCACATCATCCTTGTTAATAATAAACAAGTAAAATAAGAAAAAATAAAAGAAATGAACAGGGGAAGTCAGCAAATTTGTAAGCAGATGATGATAAGGATGAAGGGCAGGGGAGGAAAAGAGAGCCTCATTTTTCATTATGGCTCTTTGTAGCATAATAGCCGCTACTTTGGTACAAAGAGGTGTGTGTGTATGTGTGTGTGTGTGTGGATGTTGGAGTTCGAGCCAGGAGTGGTGGGATCATAATGTGAATGGCTTCACCGACAAAGATTTCATCCAAATATTTCAAATGTCGAGGGCCACTTTTAACTACGTCCGACAGCCAATTTCAACAAGACTCTCGTGGCAAGACATTCAGATGAGGCGGCTGATGTAACAGTTACATGACCTGGACTGACATCACACAGGAGACAAAACCATATTATATTTTTGCACACATGGAAGTGGCCCAGGTCAAATATATATCAGAAAAATATCAGAGGGTAATCTTCTCCTAAATGCAGAATACTTCCAAGTGTAAAACTGTTACACTGATGAAAAATATTCCTTTTCTCCTTCTGGTGTTGTGTTAAAAGCTGGTTTCCTGAGATGGTAATCTCTAGTCATTTTATTTCTTTTTACTTTTATTTCTAGATCTGCATCCTGGCTTTAGGATGTATTCACAAAAAAA